TTTCTTCGAACGTCGAAGTACACCTGGAATCTATTTCATTCAAAGTGGTTTAATCTGCAATCAATGTGGCCATCTGTAAATTGTAATGCGATCAAACATTTATTGATAATGGTTTGCTATTGACGGGCGCGCCAAACTCACGCGACACAAACCCGTACACACTTTCGTTCGCCTTCTCGTGGACAATTATTCTCGACATCAGGTCCATGCATGACATCGTCACATACTGCTTCGATGCAGTCTGAAGAGAAATCGTTCTTGCCGACGTCGCTGTCGTCCCCATCCACATCAGTGTCCGACGTGAGCTCGACTGCGGTGGTTCATTCATATCCGTTGTACGTAGAGAGAGATTCCCGGACACGGTTTCCTGTCGAAACCAGGGCCCACTACGACCCCAAGACGCAAGAGTTTATTTTGAACTCGCCAACACTCACCAGTCGCAAGTGGTGGCCCGGCGGGCTCGGCAAGACCGCCAACCACTGCGTGCTCCATGCGCGGCTGTTCCTGGACGGCAACGACCGCGGCATCCAGGCGTTTTTGGTGCCACTTCGAGACACCGCGACGCACAGGAGGTTTCCTGGGATCACGTTGGGGGAAATCGGTCCCAAGATTGGGTTCCAGTCGGTCGACAACGGGTACGTCGATCCATTGTGTCGCCGGTCGATCGAGGTTGGTCTCTCGGTGTGCTGCCAACGCGTGCTAATGGATGGTGTTTCCAACAGCTTTTGCGTGCTGGACCACGTGCGCATTCCGAGTCGAAACATGCTCATGGGCTTTGCCGAAGTGGCCCCGGACGGGTCGTTTTCCAAACCTCCGATGGATAAGTTGGTGTACTTCACCTTGGTCAATCCGTGTTCTGGTGGCGGTGGTGTGCGCACGGTACGAAGCTTTCCTGGCATCGTGTCGACTGCGAAGGTGCATTGCTGTCGTCGTGGGAGGTTGGACCACCACGACGACCATCTCATCGTCGTACAAGATTGACGGTGCTGCATACCGCATGGCGCGTGTGTCGTGCCTGACTCTATGGCCGTCTGCAGCTCTGTTTGAGATCTGCATGTATTAAGTTCCATGGCGAGCGCCGTGACAATCGCAACGCGATTCAGCGCGGCCCGTGTCCAAGTATCGGTTGCGCGTGGTCAACCCGAGGTACCCGCTTCCATCACTTTCGCTTGGCTTTCTTTCTTGTGTTGGAGTGCATTAGAACCAAGTGCTGAATTACGAAAACCAACAGTTGACGCTGTTTCCACGGACACGCCTTGCTACGACTTGGCAGCTCGACTCGTTCACGACGTCCAATTGGATGCGACTGTTCAGGACTCCCTGGTTGACGTGTTCTTGAGTAGGTCATCTAATATCGTTCGATAAAAACGTATTGACAAAGTTTATTCTCTATAGTGCATATTCTGGCTGCGTAGACAGACACCAGACAGTGCAAAGACATCTTTGTCGTCAAGACGGCGGTCAAGCAAGACAATGATTCAACAGCTGCACGTTCCAAGAGGTCCATTCGCGCCTCCGTCAACGTAGCGTGTGCGCCAGCGGTAAGCATTTCCGAACGTCTTGAGGCGAGAAAGTTCTTGATTTTAGCCTTCAGCACGCTGAAGCAACCCTCAATAGGATTGCACATCGGCAAGTGCGGTCCAAGGCGTAGCAAGACGGAGTCATCGTGCCCAGGCATGCGGGTCTCAGTTTGGCTGTGGGCGGGTGCGATGACCACGACCTTGCCGCAGAATTCGGCTTGGAACGATGGCAGCGACTTGACGGCATGGTAGATGGCTTCTGCAAATTCTGCGTTTTCTTCCATCCGAATGCTTCCCCGTTGCATGCGGTGTAGGATGAGGCCGTCGGTTGTCGATGCAGCGCACTTGAACTGAAGATTCGCTCCCTTTGACAGTTGAAGCACGGCGACGACACGTTGGCCCACCTTGGCGCGACCTTGTGTTCGCCTGCTGTACAGATTGTAGTTCGTTTCATCGTAATACACGATATAGTCACCACGCGCCATATGCATGAGCAACGTGTCAGCGAACGCTTTTCTCTTGGTTTTATTGATGTCGTTGTTGCACGTCGAGGGTTCGACACGGACTTGCTTTACTATGTACAGCTTCCCATAGAGAGTTCGACTGATCGTTGAGGTTGAGATGTTGATACCAAGTTCTACATATAGGCTGTCTTGATATAGCTTAGAGTATACTGAAAGCATTCGTCGATGTACTCTTCCAGAGGTAGGGAGATCTCTGGGGTCATCTTGGTCCGTGACGGACGCGCTCCATTCCGGCTGAGTCGACTGGCACGGTTGTTGTGAATCACACGTCGAGCTGTCGTCAAAGGGACTCCATTGTGAGCGGCCACTGCTTTCCAATCTTTTCGGTCATGGAATGCTGACAAGACACGAGTTTTCTCGGCTTCTGTTGGCATCTTTTGATTGTGCGTGGGTAATTTGTCGCGTGAGTGTGCCGCGTCCGCCAAAAGCAAACCTTTATCAGTACATGTTTTGATCGCATTACAATTTACAGGTGGCCACATTGATTGCAGATTAAACCACTTTGCATGAAATAGACTCCAGGTATACTTCGACGTTCGAAGAAATTAAAACTTCGAAACCAAATTGCTTGCTGGTTTGGCCACATTGAGAACTGTGAACGGGCAATGGTGTAGTATTATCCCTTTTAAGATAGGTTTAGATATTTTTGCACTTACACATACAGTGATAATTTAATTAAACTTATTGAATTTATTTTAATTTTTTGTACTATTTTTTGACATTGCAAACTCTCTTTTACGACGCAGGGCAAGTTCAGATCAGAGGAATTGTCAGGACTTCTCCGCGCACTGTACTTATAACTTGGTCGCAACAACTTGGTCGCGAGCCGCATGACGTCGAAATTCCAAAGTTTTGACCAATAATAAAGAAGTCCTGATCAGCTGAATAGTTCAATGTAATATAATTTCCAGCAAAACCCAACGTCAAAATAATATAGCCTTGTACAAATTTCAAGATATTTCTCTAGTACCACGGGAAGGATTTCCGTATTTCCGTCGTTCCCTGTACGTGCTTTGTCGAGGCCAAAAGTGTCCCTTGCTGGCCATAATCATGGGAATTTGCTCGAGTGTTCAGAATTAAATGGTGTGTTTACATTATACTACTCTGGTCCATAATAGTTGTTAGCAAGTTTTTCACTGGATTAAAGTATGAGTAGCCATCAGGAAATATCTTAAAATTTGTATGTCACTTCAGAAACGAATATGAAAGGGAAAAAATTTAATGTATTTTTATTCTTCTTCCCC